AGAACACAAGGTTCCCCCTCAAAATTGGCTCACCAATTCAATACTCAATTCCAAACTTCTAAAATATGATGAGGTACATGGGGTATTTATAGTTGTAAAATAAATCTAGGCCTAAATCTAATAGATCTCCTAAATCATGCAAGAATAGAAATCCTAAGTCTAGAAAGCAATAAAATCCTAAACCTACCAAAATACTAATGCTTGGCTTGCACACCAAGCAAATCTAGAAGCTCCCTAATATCACATGTTAAGACTCTCGGCGCCCCAATTCCTTCGGTCCGTCCCACGCGCGCGCCTTCGGCGCTATTCCTCGTCGCGCGCGGTACCCCGCGCGCGTGCTTCGCATGCCGCCCATCCGTGCTCGCCTAATCCTTCGCGACCTAGGAGACTTGCGCCTGCTTCCCACGCGTTGCCCTCCGCGCGCTCCTGGCCATCGCCGCCATTCCCATGCGCGTGCGTGCCGTCGCCCGCCATGCCTATACCCCCTAGGATTGGGTCGCTCGCGCTTGTCGTGTACTCGCGCGCTGTCGCGCGCCTATCGCTGCTGCTCCCCGCATCCCGCGCGTCCTCGTCACTCCCGCGAGTATCGCGCACGTCTCTCGTTCCCGTGCCGCTCGCGCTGTCGCCCCGTGCCTTGCGCGTCCCGCCCAGTGCCCCAGCATCCCGATCTCCTACTGCGCGCCCTCGTGCACCTGTTGCACCGCGCGTCCCAGCCGCATATCCGCGTGACCCTTGCCGATCCCGCGTTCTGCCAACCTCCATCGTCGATCCTTCCAATGCGCACCACCGTTCGTCGCCGTCACTCACTCATGCACCAATCCGACCCTTCGACCCATTACGCGCATCAAGGTACGATGCGCGTTCTTTGCTCGTGCTCGCACCTTCGTCGCCAACCGACTCCCAGTGCTCGCCCGATTCCTCGTGCTCTCCCGACGGCCATGGATCCCATCCGTCCAACCCAATGCAATCACCAGCTCTCCAAATCCATCCATCCTCCATTCTACTCTTACCTCCCTTTCGGGCCACCATCTTGCGAACTCGCCTTTTCCTCGCACAAGGTTTACACCAACACTTCTCTTCTTTAGTTTTTGCCTTGTGTTTCCTTCGAGTTCTTTTGATCTTGCTCCTCCTAGGCTTGAGCTTAGCTCGTGGACCACATCCCTTTGGCCAATCCCTTACACGTGATGGCCGGTGAATAGGACTAGATGGCTCTTCCAACATGTTTTCTAACCATAAAGCAAGATCATCGCCATCATCCTTGTCAGACTCACCGGGGTTGATGACCACTTCCGTATCATTCCCCTCCTCTTCGAGACTTTCCTTGTCCTCAACGATTAAGAAATTAAGCGCACCTTCCCCTTCATTGTTCTCAACCACCATCGCTTCTCGGGCTTCCATGAGTTGTCGTTCATACTCCTCTATATTCCTCCTCTCATGAAGCTCGTCTAAATATGTTGCCTCCCATGGTGTGAGCTCTCAAACCCTCCAACATCTCAAGATCTTCCCAATCTAACTCATCCATTGGTGGGTAAGACATAATTTTTTTTTTTTTTTACTCTAAAAGTTGAAAAATAAATGGGGAAAAATTCGAGGAATTCGAACCCCCAACAAGACTCAAAAAATCGAAACAAAAAAGAAATTCGGCCCCTCAACAAAAGGTAATAACCGAAAAAAAATAACAAAGGACTAACAAGTTGACACTTTTTTTTTTTATGAAATTTCGAAAAAATTCGAAAATTTCGACTCAAAAAAAAATAAGAGAAATTCGTTTCCATCACCAAAAGGCAAAACCGAAAAAAAATAAAGATAAGATAGACAAAATATCGATCA